GCAGAAAAGTCAACCAGAATGCAGAAAAGTCAACTAGTGCAGAAAAGTCAACAAGAATGCAAAAAAGTCAACTAGAGTGCAGAAAAGTAGCGTTAAGCGCCAGTTTGGGCTGAGCGTCAGTTTAGTGTCGCAGTTACCGCTGAGCGGCCTTTTTGGGCATTGAGTGCCAGTTTCGTGGGCTTGGACTTGTTTTCTGTTATTTTTTAGTTTTATTTAAGGACTTGCACGTCCTAGGGATTGTATCTTTTGATGGCTTGATCACAGAAACACATTTTTCACCCCTTGGGGGTAGATTTGGGGATTTGGGAGTCTGCTCTTCTCTTTCTAGGGTTTTTCTATCTCTTTCATTCTTTCATTGTACATCTAGTTTCTCCATGATAATGAGGAACTAAACCTTATTTGTTGTTGGGAAAGATGTAACCTCTTAAACTCTCATGTATTGAATTGATTCTTGATTATATATGCTTTACTTCATTAATTGTTAGGGTTTTTCCTCCATACTCTATGCTTGCTTTGTTTAACTCATTCATAGTATGATAATTGATTTTGTCGATATGGACACAAAAGAAAGAAGAATAAATAAGCATTCTCCTCATAAAAGTTGCTTGTAATGCAAGTTAGCTCATGCATAGTTGTAGTTTTGATTTCTAGACTAGTTAGGAAGCTTATAAACCCTTAAGAAGTGGAAGAATTGGTATATGTAAGACTTAGAACACCCTTAGGTGCTGCTGTCCAGACTTGAAGGCATTTTAAGTCCCACATTCCTTAAATCTCTCCACTTACTTCATCCTTAAGGATATATGTTAAAATAGAATGGCTTAGTTTCTCACACCAAGAGGGGGTGAATTGGTGAAGTGTAAAAATATAACGTATGTGGTGTCATTTGAAAATATGTGTAGGTATGTATGAAGATATGTACTATTCGGAAATCTTATTCTCTATTGATGTTAAATACTTATGTATGCTATATAACATATTTTTTTAGCTCACCCTTGCATGTTGTGGTTGTGGTTTCCACCTGCATTGATCGTACTTGTACGGGAGTAGGTGTTGTTATAGATGTAGCTAAAGAGAAGTTGAGTAATGAAATTCTATGAACGTTTTACAGTTGCATTTGATTTATGAAGTTTTCAAAATTCAGTTATAATAAATGAAAGTTTTTATTTAAACTGTATCTTGCAATGGTATCAAAGTTAAGTATTAAAAAGTTTTTGTAAACCGGTGGCATCCTAAAATTTGGGGTGTTACAATGAAGCATAAAAAGAAATAGCATAGGTTTTCTTAGGCTTTCTAGTTTCTTTCTCTTTGTTTAATTATAAAGAAGCTTATATATGATGGTATCGGAGGGGGTATTTTTCGAAGAGTATAGCGCAGCGGAATTAAAACTCAGAGAGCGGAAAGCGTATTCGATCACAATTAAAATTAAATTTGTCCTTTTAGTAAAAATAATTTTCTTTCAGAAAATTAATCAAACAGTTGATATACATAAAATAATATGAGTGTAGGGAATAAGAAGATCAACACAGAATTTTTATCCTGGTTCGAATCAAAAGATTCTACGTCCAGTTGTTAATCACTATAAATAGTGATTAACCTTTTTCACTAAAAATGGTTTCACAGATTACAAGATAATGAACAGGAATAAAATGAAAAGAACTACTCTACCAACTTGAAGAGAACCGCTCCGGCAATCGACCAACGATTCGCAAGCTTCTCCTTACACAAGACCAGGCAGAGTACCTTGCTAACTTGAAGAGAGTCTGCTCCGACTATCGACACACGATACGCGAGCCTCTCCTTTCACAAGACCAAGCAAGGGAACAATGAACAAAAAGCTCTCTAAGAACGTTCCTCTGACACACAGTGTTCTAAGCTTTCTCAGTTCAAAATTCGTTACCTTCTGATTTCTCCAAATCAAATTATATAGCCAAGTACACTGAGTGCCAAAGGTCAGCTCTCAACTGCCATGAATAATCGATTATTGTAAGTGATAATCGATTATTCAAGTCCGTTACAGGTTTTCAAAAATGTGATAATCGATTATATGAAGTGATAATCGATTATTCAAGTATGACTTGTGATAATCGATTATTGCTTAACCATAATCGATTATTCTAGTAAAAATTACAATGTTTAACATTTTCCTACTACATTCAAAATCTACAAGTTGCTTTTTTTAAATATTTTCCTACTACATCCAAAATCTATAAGTTGCAACATCATCAAAATACATCTTCAGGTTTTACCAATACTCCTTATTGGTAACAATATATTCTTCTTTTCTTGAAGGTGCGAGCAATGTGGGAGTTCACATAGTTTGGACTTAAAAGAAAGAAGAATAAATAAGCCTTCTCCTCATAAAAGTTGCTTGTACTGCAAGTTAGCTCATGCATAGTTGTAGTTTTGATTTCTAGACTAGTTAGGAAGCTTATAAACCCTTAAGAAGTGGAAGAATTGGTATATGTGAGACTTAGAACACCCTTAGGTGCTGCTGTCCAGACTTGAAGGCATTTTAAGTCCCACATCCCTTAAATCTCTCCACTTACTTCATCCTTAAGGATATATGTTAAAATAGAATGACTTAGTTTCTCACACCAAGAGGGGGGTGAATTGGTGAAGTGTAAAAATATAAGCTTTCAAAATCTATTTCACAAAATAAGATGTTTTTACACTTTTCTTGAATCACAAGTTAAAAGATATGCAATGAAGCAGTAAACTTGATCGAATATACTGACAGCTTAATCAACTTAATAAAAGAGTGTAGGGAGCAGATAATTCAAACGCTGATTTTTATACTGGTTTGGCCAACCTGCCTACATCCAGTGTTCTTCCAACCACGAGAAGCAAATGCACTATAAAGATCAAGATTTTTACAACAAGGATTTTACAGAGACCTCACGTCAAAAGTGTAAAACACCCTCTAACCCTCTAATCTAAATATAGGCAACAAATAAACAAGAACACCCTCTTCTTGTGTCTATCCCTTTGAGGCACCCTCAAAGTCAAGAACACCGTTCTTCTTCCTGCAAACACCGCAGGGAATCCAAGCCAATCTTCAAAGATTGCAAATCCTAATTGCGCAGAATACACCCAGTTGTGTAGATTGATCAAACGTTCAAATCAACAAGCCTTGCTTCTTAAGAAACCTCAAGTCTTTAATCACCACGGTCCTTCATTGGGCAATTGCCACATATGTCAAAAGACTTACATCTAATGGCTGACATAGACACTATACTATTAAGGATTTAGAAGCTGTCAATAAAAAAGACCACATCGAACACTTGAAAAAAATGAGTCTCACATTTAACAAAGTTGACGAATACAGGACCAAAAGTAATATTAAGCTTTTTTGGATATTAAAGTTTTCAAGATATAAAATCCTTTTTAATTCTTTTTTCACAAACAAAATTAAACAATCTATCAAATCTTGTAATTTTGTTTCTAATATTTATGAAATAATTTTAAAATAACCCGAGAATCCCAAAGGCAAATCAGCCAATAAAAATAAGAAATAATTTAAGTTATGATCTTTTAATCATGTGTTTGCATAAGTGCATTATACTTATTCTTCAGTAGTTGAAACCACGAGGTTCATCTCAAGACTACTCCAAGATACACTGAGTTGCAGCAGAGTTTTCACACTACCAGTATCGTGTTGGCGATCAGTAACCACTAACCAGAAAAGTCTCAACAATTGCATGGCCTAGAGCATTATCATCTATGAAAACTCATGCATACCAAAGCACTCTGGACAACAAGTACGGCCAATCTCCTCAACCCTCTAACTAGTCCTGAAAGCTATTAACTTGTTGGTTCCACAAGCCTTGAACCTACCCAACAAAACCTGATTCCAGTTTATGCCTTGTGCTATTTTATTATCAAGTAACATCATAGTCCAAACGTCAACTTCTGGAGGGGTGTTCATGGTCTGCTATGGCCCCTGCAGCTCTACAAGCTGCTATGTCGAATGCAATTGTTTTTACATGTGGTCAGTCTGGAGTGTTAGTCCCACCATATTGCTACCTTCTTTCTGTTTCCTCCCTTCATGTAACCTCACCTAGCTTTTCAAGCCAACTAAAACCAGGCTGCTTATGGACATTTCTTTCGTTCATCACATTCCTTACATTCCCAACCTCTTCCCAGTCACCTTCAGCAGCATATATATTTGATAGTGTAACAAAGCTACCTGGTCCCTTTAACTTCATTCTCATTATTTCCTCTGCCATCATTTTAGCCAGATCTCTTCTTCCATGGACTTTGCAACCATGTAGAAAAGCTCCGGCCATTGACTCTGTGACTTGTATTGGCAAGGCTTTGAAAAAATCACATGCTTCTACCGTCCTTCCGGAGCGGCACAAGAGATCAACCACACAAGCATAATGCTTCATGCTTACCTCAATCCCATAACATTCATTCATTGATGAGAAAATCTCTAAACCTTTCTGCACTAAACCACCATGGCTGCATGCTGAAAGAATACATGTAAAAGTAATTTCATTTGGCTGCAGTCCCTCTTCCTGCATTCTTTTGAACAGCTCCAAGGACGAATCAACCATGCCACACTTTCCATAACAACCAATCATTGCATTCCATGACGCAACATTCTTAAATGGAATCTTGTCAAATACATTTTGAGCATCTTTCAAACTCCCACACTTTGAATACATATCAATAAGAGCGCTAGCAATGAAAACATTCGCATCAAACCCCTTCCGGCATACAAATCCATGAATCTCTCTTCCCCATTTAATGCAACCTTCTGATCCACATGCAGGAAGCAGTGCAACCACGGTCACTTGATTTGGCGGAATCCCGGAAAGTATCATCTCCCTAAACATCTTGAACGCTTCCCTGAGTTGATGACTTTGTACAAGCCCAGAAATCAATGCATTCCATGCAACCACATCAGGAACAACACCTTCCCGTTTCATTCTCTCAAAGAACGCAAGAGCTTTGCTGCTATCACTTGACCGAGCATACGCTGCAATAATCACATTCCATGTGAAATCATTTGGCTCCAACCCTTCCAACCTCATCCTCTCAAACAACACCAATGCTCGCTCAATTTCCCCCACGTTACAAAACCCACAAATCATTGACGTCCACGAGGCAACATCCCTCTCACGCATTCCATCAAACACGCTGTGAGCATAAGAAATGCCGCCACATTTGCCATACATATCTATGAGAGCATTGGCAACGGAGACATCATTTTGAAAACCCATTTCAAAAACCATGGCATGAACCTGTCTCCCTATTTTCACATCCATCAAGCCAACACAGGCCTTAAGAACAACAGAAAAGGTGAAATTGTTGCCCATGTGGCCAACCTCACGCATCCAACGAAAGTACAACAATGCATCATCAAAGTGTCCATTGAAAGACAACCCCAGAATCATCCAATTGAATGCAAAAACATTGGGGTGTTCAATCTTTTGAAACAAAAGCCTAGCTGATTTCAGATGAGCACAACTAGCGTACATTCCAACAAGCTTTGAATTAAGAGACAAAATGTTCATGTTTGTTCCACTAGTGACCACGGTGGCATGGACCTGCATGCCGGGTCTCAAGGTCTTTGCTTTCAGGCATTTTTCAAGGCACAAAGCAAATTCATGTGGTGACCATCTCAATTGTGAAGAAAATGGCATAGTTCTCATTCTTTTATGATTCTACTCTTTTGCGACACGCTGATTCCGCAGCCTTTTAACATGAAAATAGTAAGCTTATACTCTAATATTTTGGATTAAATTACACTAATGTCTACAAATGCCTTATTTTTTACAAATTTCACACAAATCACTCGTTTGTTTCAAAAACATTATGGTATGCTTTTAAGTTTTACACATATTAGACGCCCAGTTTGAGATAGAAGGTTAATATAATGATAATGAGAAATAAAATGTTACTGTAAAAGATTTGGTATACATCATGTTATATAAATATTTTTCATTAAAAAAAATTGATTTTTAAATATTGGCAAGACAGAGAGGTTGTGCAATGTGGACTAGACTGCCAATCTGTTTTTTTTTTCTTTAAAAAGTTATTTTTATATTATGTTATTTGAAGAACCTAAAAATATAAATATAATGTACTTTATTAATACTTACAAATAAAATTAATTATTATAATAAAATAATTTATATACGTAAAAAATAATTATTTTAATTTATCTAATACGTTAACACTTATAAGTTAAGATTCAACTATTATAATAAAATAACTTATATATGTAAAAAAAATAATTATTTTAATTTATCTAATTACATACAATTAATTAAAAATCTAAAAAAATATTTATATGATTAATTATAAGTTACAGGTAAAATTATATTTTAATTTTTATAAAAATGTAATTTAATTTCTAATTTTTATTTGGTTCAATTTAGTCATTTATTTTTTAAAATGATTCAATTATATTTTTTTCATGAAATTGATTTTAGATTTATATTAAGATTTATACACTAAATCACTCCACCTAAAAAATAAAATTAATTTAAATATTTAAAATTTAGTATATAAATTTTAACAAAAATCTAACATCAATCTAATAAAAAAAAACTTAATTGAATCATTACGGGACTAGTAAAATGTACAAAGATATTTAATTTGTTTTATTATAACATTTCAGGCAACCTTATCTCATTTTTACATACCGATAAGATATTAAGACAAAATAAGTTCAGTTAGTACGTACATTTGTCACCAATAAATATAATTACATTATTAACCTTTGAAAATAAATATGCTTAAGTTTTCACTAATAAACTTAGATAGTTAATGGATATACTCTAGTTACTCATATAATAGTATTATCACAGCCAAAAGATCAACAATAGTTAGGTATTGTCACAAGTGGGAATTAGATGAGGGCAAATCAGAAAAAAAAATTAGAGGAGAATAATTCTGTTAGGCAGAATGGACATATGGCAAGTAATCCTACAATTGTGAATAACAGAAAAAGTGCAAGGATGAGGAGATCCAATGTACGTATGAAAGATTATGTGTGAGGCAGGGGTGGTTATAGGAGTGGAAGGGAAAAGGAAGGGGATATCGATGATTACATTTTGTCTTCTCTCTTAATTCTCTGTACTTCGGATATTATGGAATGACCTCTCTGTCTAGTTAAGGAAGATGAGCATAGGAAAAGGACCACTGGACCAATACATTGGATAATAGGAAAAGGATAAAAATATCTCATACTCAATTTCTGGTTTTTTCTCAAAGCAACCGAAGTCTGTCTATAAGGCTGGAGCTTCACCAACACCATATCTCTCACTTTGAATTCAATATGACGCCTCTTCTTATCCACCTCTTGCTTCATATACTGTTGTGCCTTATTCAAATAACCCTTTAACTGATGCAAAACAACATCACGCTACTGTAACAATTCCTGTAAAGTAGGAGGATCTGTGGAATCTGTAATGTACTTATCAATTCGAGGTGAATCCCTTCCATAGACTACCTTAAATGGTGTCATACCCATACTAAGGTGATACGAAGTATTATACCAAAACTCTGCCTACGGTAACAATTTCATCCACATCTTTGGATTGTCATAAGCAAAACAACACAAGTACATCTCCAAACAACGATTGACAGCTTCCAATTTACCATCAGATTGGGGGTGGTACACGTTGCTCATTGCCAATGAAGTGTCATTCAATCGAAAAAGTTGTTTCCAAAAATGACTCATAAAAACTGTCTCTATTTGATACAAACGACTTGGGAAATCCATGTAATTTCACCATCGTTTGCATGAACAATTCAGCCACCTACATACTATTGTAATTAGGTTTTAAAGGAGCAAAATGGGCATACTTAGAAAGTCGATCAACCACTACCATGATCACCGTAAACCCCCGAGCATTAGGTAATCCCATAATAAAATCCATTGTTATATCTTCCCATATATGTGCTGGAATGGGGAGAGGATGCAATAATCCGGAAGGTGAGGTATTGGAAGACTTAGCCTATTGACAAATGAGACATTGCTTAACAAACTTAGTTATGTCTTTATGCATTCCTTGCCAGTGAAATTGTGTCGCAATCCGAGCGACGGGTCGTGTAATACCCGAATGTTCGCCCAGTGGAGAAGCGTGGAATTCATGTAAGATGTGCTGAATCAAGTCATGATTCCTAAGGATAACCAATCTGCCATTCCAGTATAATAACTCATCATGTGTGGAATAATTGGGATGGGGTGGGGTACCCTTACGACATAATTCACGGATGTTGTGTAATTTCGTATCCTCTACAACCGCGGCGCGTAAGACGGTTAAAATTGCCAAGTTTGGTTGAGACCACGCCATGAAAAATGATCTAGACAATGCGTCTGCTGTCAAATTGTCCTTCCCTGGTTTGTACTCGATAGTAAAGTCGTAGCCTAACAATTTATGCAACCACAACTGTTGTTCAGGCGTTTGTAAGGATTGTTGTGTTAGGCTCTTGAGACTTTGCTGATTTGTCTTAATTATGAATTTATGCCCCAAAAAGTAATGTCGAAATTTTCCTATGGCTTCTGTGATGGAATATAATTCTCGCGTATAAGCTGATTGTTTATGAAGTCTGGGATTTAATTTCTTTGAAAAGAAGGCAACTGGATGATTGTTCTGACTAAGCACCGCTCCTATACCAATCCCTGATGCATCTGTTTCTAATACAAAAGCAGTAGTAAAATCAGGAAGAGCAAGTACTGGTGCTTGAGTTAAAGTGGCTTTGAGTGTTTCAAAAGCTGTAGTAGTTGCGGCATCCCAATTAAAGTTGTCTTTCTTGAGAAAATTTTTCAAAGGAGTTGCAATAGATGCATAACCCTTGATAAACTTCCTATAAAGTCCCAAAAATCCCCTTAATTGTTTAATATTAGTAGGAAGAGGCCATGCTAACACATCTTGTACCTTGGAAGCATCGATAGCTACGCCTTGACCCGAAACAGTGTGTCCTAAATATTCCACTTCATTAAGAGCAAATGAACACTTAGAGAACTTGACAAATAATTTTTGCTTCCTTAGTAATTGCAAGAAAAATTCTAGTTGGTGTAAATGAGAAGACCAAGTCGGACTGTAGACTAGTACGTCGTAAAAAAAAAACAACACAGATTTTCGTAACATATCTTGAAAGATTTCATTCATCAAGCACTGAAAGGTAGTCGGAGCATTCATCAACCCAAAGGGCATGACAAGCCATTCATAGTGCCCATGATGTGTTTTGAATGTTGTCTTATATCGGTCTTCCTTCTTAAGCAAAATTTGATGATACCCAGATCTGAGATCAAGCTTGGAAAAATATTGAGCCCCAAATAGCTCATCAATTAACTCATCTACAGTGGGAATGGGAAAGTTTTCTTTGATGGTTATGGCATTTAAGGCGCGGTAGTCCGTACAAAATCTCCAAGTACCATCTTTCTTCTTGACCAATACAATGGGTGATGAGAAAGGGCTATTACTGGGTACTATAATGCCTTCTTGTAACATCTCCTTGACCATCTTCTCAATTTATTCTTTTTGACTGTTAGGATATCTATAGGGCCTAACCTTAACAAGATCAACCCCTGCAATCAAAGGAATACAATGATCGTGGGACTTACTTGGAGGAAGACCAGTAGGAACTGTAAAAACATCCTCATAGTTCTGCAAAAGTAATGCTAATGCAAGGTTCAAATTTGTAGGTAATTGCAACCCGTGATCAACAACACAATGAGGTTGCTGAAACTAAAGTGTAAAGAGTTCAGATATGGCATTCGTTCGTTGCTGCCTACGAAGATGATTATATTGGGCTGGAGTCGAAAGTTGTGGCCTATTCCACTAAGAACTTTAATGTCAAGGCCCTGTAGTCCGAAATATGGGGACCTAAGGTAGCCAACCACGCTGCCCCTAAGACCAAGTCAGCACCCGTGATCGGCAATAAGTAAACTGGAAGCTGTAAAGAGTGCCCTTGGATCTGCACGTCAACTATGTGCACCATACCTTCCATTGTCAAAGAATTTCCATTATCAACTAAGACCTGAAATCCAGTAGTGGGTTCAATGGCTAACTTCAAGCAATGCGCAAGTCGTGGTTGCAAGAAGTTATCCGAACTCCCACTATCCAGTAGTACTTGAACCGTGACCCCATTGATAGTACCCTGAAATCGCATAGTACCAATGCTAGAGACTCCTTTTAGAGCATTAAAAGAAAGGTGATGCTCTTGGTCCAGTGATTACATGTTAGAATGATTAACAACATCGGGTGGTTCAGGTTCTAGTGTAGAGTCTACCTCTTCCTCTAATTGTAAGAACAAATATTGTTTGTTGGGACATATATGGTGAGGTGAAAATTTCTCATCACATGTTAAACAAAATCCTTTCTCTCGACGCAATTGCATTTCTGCTGCAGAAATTTTTTTGACATTGGCAAACTTACTTGATTGGGAATTAGGCTGGGTTATAGTGTTTGGGTTGGGTAACAAGGGTGGTAAGCTGGTAGATTTGGTTGTTTGTGCTAACGAGGATGGTGGGTATTTTGGGTAAGGAAGGTGTAAGGTAGGTTTTTGTTTTGGCTGGTATTTCTCTTCGAATAGCTTTGCCAATGAAACCACTCGTAACAATGATATGGGATTTTGAGCCCACTAATGAAACAATCAAGTTGAGCAATAACATCACGATGAATGTCAATCTTGAGCCCACTAATGAAACAATCAAGTAAAG